GAATCTCTCTCCAGGGAGTGTAATCAGCAGCAAAAGGTCATTGCCAAGGTGAATAGCTTCTACACTGCCACTTTCCTCTATCTCAGACTCAGGCTTTGTCCTTAAGAACTTGGAAGCATTGGCCAAGAAGAATCCACAATGGCTGCTCAAGACCCTGGAGATCTACCTGGCCTAGGTGTCAAAGGGATAGGCCTCCTAGTTGACGCAGAAGTGTTCTGGGTCATAAGCCCTTTGCTTCATGGATCTCACCTTCACAGGTGTGAGTGACCTGTAGGACTGATCTGAGCAGCCCCAGAGACTGACTGATAGGAATATTCCTGGGCTGGGCCACCAGGCTTCAGAGGGCATGGGACAAACCACATCTGGAGCCCCCTGGCTGAGCCAAGCACCTTTCTGAGGTGAGATGGCAAGCTTCTGGGCTTGGTTGCAGAAAGCCAAGCACCCTCACCACTCAGAGTGACTAAACCTGACCTACTCCCTTATAGACCTCTAGAACAAGGAAAGTCTTATTTGTTCCCAGCTGGGCTTCAGTTCCCAGGTTTGGATTACAGGAATCAGTGGCAGTAAGTGGAGCATGAGGCACAATAGCCCYAACTGGATGTGCCACACCTCCCCACAGGAGAGGAGATTACCAAATAGAAGCAGCTAGAATTCTGACTCTCTAGCTAGCCTCTGGTTAGAATCTAAAGAAAGACAGCAGTGACTGCAGCCAGCAGGAGGCAGCATAACCCAGAGAAATCGCACTAACAGGCTTGTCAGGGCCTGTCTCTCCTCCCTATCCCTTCCCTCCCCTCCCCTCCTCTCCAGTTTGTGATCTAAACATGAACATTGGGCTTGTGTCTCCTGGCTGCTTCCTCCTAACCATTCATGAGCTAGGACTTCCTCCAGGGAAGGCTACATACTTCCCCAGGATAGTATTCTGGCCTGAGTGAGGAAGAAGGAAGTGTCTCACATTCCAGCACTTTCAGAATAAAGGAGTTGCTCTAGGGGGTCATAGTAGGGGGAGTGAAAAGACAAACCCACTGAATGAGGGAGGGAGAACATTTTTGCAAACCATGTATTGAATAAGGTACTTGAATCTGGAATGTTTAAAGAACACCTTTAGTTCAATAATCAGACAATACATTTCAAAATATAGACAAAGGAACCAAAAAGACATTTCTTCAAGGAAGATACACAGATGGCCATTAAGCCATGAAAAGTTGTTCAGCATCATGAGCCATCAGGGAAATGTAAATCAGTACTATAATGAGATACCTCTTTATACTCCCTAAGATGGTTATCATTGAAAAGACAGATAATACGTCTTGAGAAGGATATAGAGATATTGAAATGCATAATTCAGTTTATTTTTCTTTCCTTTTCTTTTTTTGTGGGGGAGGGTACTGGAGATTGAACTCAGGGGCACTTGACAACTGAGCCATATCACCAGCCCTATTTTTTTAAGTTGTTGATGGACCTTAATTTTATTCATTTATTTATATGTGGTGCTGAGAATCGAACCCCGTGCCTCACATAGCTAGGCAAGTAGCACTGAGTTGGTTAGCTCCTTGCTTTTTGCTGAGGCTGGTGCAATCCTCCTGTCTCAACCTCCCGAGCTGCTTGGATTATAGGTGTGAACCACTGCACTTGCCCTTTTTTGTTTGTTTTTGTTTTGTTTTTTGAGATGGGGTCTCTAACTGTTATACAGGCTGGCCTTGAACTTGAAATCCTCCTGCCTCAGCCTTATGACTAGCTGGGATTACAGGCAAGCACCACTGTACCCAGCCTTATTTGCTTTTGATGGCCTATAAGGTAGTGCAGACAATTTGGAAAATAGTCTGGCAATTCCTCAAAAGTTAACATACAGTCACCATATGTCCCAGAAATTCTACTCCTAGCTATATRCCGAAGAGAAACAAAGAGATGTTTATACAAAAACATTTTCATGAATGTTCATTATAGCATATTCATAATAGCTAAAATATGGAAACAGCCTAAATTTCTACCAACTGATGAGTAGATAAACAAGATGTGAGTTTTTTCATGTAGAATACTATTCATCCAATTGTTTTAAAAAAAGGAAYACTGATACATGCTTAAACATGAATAAGCGTTGTAAACATTGTGCCAAGTGAAAGAAGCAGTGATGAAACACATATTATGCGAATTCATTTATATGAACCATCCTATATAGGCAATTCAGTAGAGTCAGAAATTGAGTGGTTGTTTAGAGCTCGGGGTTTGGTGGGAAGTATAGAGAGTGACTGTTAATAAGTACAAGTTTTCTTTTTAGGGTATTGAAAATGTTCTAAAATGATTGTGGTGATGACTGCACAACTATGAATATCCTAAAAGTCAGTGAATTGTGATTGATTTAATGAGTGAAGTGTATGGTATGTGAATCATAGCTTAAAGCCATTTTTAAAAACTGGTGAGTTAATATGGCCCAGAAAGTGGAGTGCAGTGCAGACATGGAAAACGATCACTACTTTCATAAGCCTTACGGAGCTGAAGAGATTTGGAGGGAAGGACACGCCTCTTGAACTAGTTTTCTGTTCTTCATCCTTGGAAGTGACCTTGTTGCTACGCTTTAGCTATTGCTTTGGAGATGTTCTTGCAAATATTTCTCCCCACAGAGTTGGTCAGATTATACAAGCCCAGCACCAAAAGTTGGCTGTGTCTTGGGGCAGAATCTGAGCTGGCCATGTCTCTCTCTCCAGAGACACTCATTTCTGAGGGTGCCTGTGTGCCCCACATTGCACCTGCACCTTCCATAGCCATCCTCTCTTGCAGGCCTCCCTAAAGTCCCCTATGCAGGTAGTGTGGATCCTGGGGCTTTCTAACAAGTCTGCAGCAGAGACAGATTCTGCAGGCTGGTTCCCCAGAGTCTCCACATATCACTGGACCCATATATGGTCTGGGAACTGACCAAGGAGTCCCAACACGGACTTAGTCATTCTGGTTTTTCTCCCAAAGTGCAGGAAAATATATGTGAAAAAATAGAATTTTCTTAATTAGTTTATCTCCAGAAATTTTTTCCTTAGTCTTTACCTACTGCCACTTTAATTGCTATTAAGAGCATGAAGATTGAAAAGAAGAAAACATGGTAATAAGTTATAATTAGATATGAGAAAGAAGTTCTGGTGTGCTGTTGCCCAGTAGGGTAATCATAGATAACAATTATGTGCTATAAAATTGTGCTATATCTCAAAAAGCTAAAGAAAAAGGATTTTGGATGTTTTACCATAAAGAAATGATAAATATTTGAAAATATAAATGTTTTTAAAGATTTAAGCATTACAAAGCATATACATAGTCAGCACATCACATGGTACCCCATTAATATGTATAATTTTTATGTATTGTGCTTGTATATGCAGAATTCAGCACATTATAAATGGCTGTTGGTGAACCAGTCTTTGATGCCTTTCAGATATCAAGGGTCACATACATAAATTAAGTTTATAAGAGAGAAAAGAAAACATTAGCATTACTACATGCTTATAAGTTGCTGACTTGTGCTGGCCACTATTCTGAGTACCTCCAAAATATTAGCTTCTTCTGTCTTTGCAACATTATTAGGAGGTATGTACTATTGTCATTATCACTCTTTTACAGATGAATGAGGATGGTTACTGAAGCACATAAAGGTCAACTAAGGCTACCCAGCTAGTGAATGAGTTTCCAGCTCAGCAGTCTGACTTCAGCATCTGTGTTCTTACCCACTGTGCCATGCTGCCTCCCAAGTCGTGCTTCATTTGGCAGCTTGTCCTCTTCCAGGGTTATGATTTTATATTGGTGATATAATGTCACTGGGAAAAATTGTTCTGGGTCTGTAGGGTGGAATAAATCAGGCTCTTATGTTAAGACACCCTACAGAAATCACAGTGTCTCCTGGGTCAGCCTTCTCTGAATGGGTTTGATAACCACTTCTCTGTATGCATAGTTCTGGCCTTTGCAAAAGTCCTCTAGAGAAATAGGTCCAGTAGGAGCTTGAAGAAACCTTAGCAGTTACTGATTCACCTTTTCACCTTAAAGATGAGGAAACTGAAAGGAAATGATTCTCCTAAAGTCACCCAGCCTCTCCTGACTATGACCATTGCCTTCCTAAAAGGGATCTATCTAATGGTGACTGAGGCTTCCTAAGAATCCATTGCTGGGCTTTTCTTGTGTTCCTCATGGTAACCCTCTTTGTCCACTGTAGTAGTACAGAGCAATCAAAGGCCTAGTGAGGAGGTGATTTGCACAGAGTCACATAGCCAGCAAATTTCATTTCCAGAGCCTTCCATTTTCATTATTTTGCTGTCCTTCGTCCCAAGGGTAAATACCTTTTTGGAGTGGACGAGACGTTTTGCCAGCTGGTTAGTAGAGTAAATGTGTTGGGTTACCTAAAGCTCAGAGTACAATGCCTTACAGGTATCAAGTGTCCCAAACATACTGCTTATCTGCTGCTTTAGTAATGATGAGATTCTGTACAATGAAAATCTGCTGGTAGATGATGTTCATCTATATCTGTGCTATCAGTTGTAAAACCCAGTCTGCTTTAGAAAACTGAGCCTTAGAAAACTTTAGTTGGGTTTTTGAAAACTGGGAGAGATCTTCAAAAAGGTTCCCTTGGGCTTTCAGCAGTGTACCTTGTGGAATCTAGGGGAAAACAAGTAAATAGTTATTTGAAGGGTTCTACACAMCTTGCTATCACACCTCTGTCTGTCTGTCTGCTTTCTGCTTGGTGGCAGGGGAAGGAGTACCAGTAGGGAGGGTAGAATGTGGCACTGCATTGACGACATCAGAATGTTTTCACTTTGTTGGTGAAACAGACTAGAACTACAGAGTTGGTTTTTCTAGGTTTCTTGCTCAACTAGCTTCTGGAGATTGAAGGAGTTTGGGRGGCTTTCAAAGTCTGGTGTGGGCCTGGGCCCAGTCTAAAGGCTTTTACCTCCAGTCTGTTCAGAGCATGTTGGAGGACAGAAGTGTTTCCTCAGGAGCCATGACTCACCTTCTCCCTGGGGCTGTGTCAGCCTCCACTGTGTTCCCTCCTCCAGGCGCTTCTGAGGAGAATGGGCTACCTCATACTTCAGCCAGGACCCAGCTGCCCCAGTCGATGAAGATTATGCATGAGATCATGTACAAACTGGAAGTGCTCTATGTCCTCTGCGTGCTGCTGATGGGGCGTCAGCGAAACCAGGTGGGCACCTCCCTAGTATCCCAGAACAGGAGGAGCCAGGGGCAGATGCTGCCTGGCTTGTGGTATGCTGGGCGCCATCAGCCTTCGTTTAGAATGGCACTCACTCTAGCCCAGCAAAGCATATGGGTTGTTTTCCTTCTCATAAGGAAACCGGGATCATTCTAGAGCTTGGAGTCTTTCCAGGTACCTTGCTGTAGGCAGCATTTCTAGACAGCATTGCACCCAGATCAGAAATGGGCATCTTACCTTAATAATGAGGAGAATAAAGTATAAATAAGTAAAACCCTATAGGGCTGGGGTGGTGGCTCAGTGGTAGAGTGCTTGCCTGGCATATTGGAGGCACTGGGTTTGAGCCTCAGCACCACAATAAAATAAATAAATGAATAAAATAAAGTTTAAAAATTTGTTTTAAAAAAAAAAAAGACTGGCCCTGTAGATGTGCAGGAAGAGTTGCTGATCTGATGCAGGATCAGGGTAGTGAGGCAGAGCTTAGAGCTGTGTTCACTTATGAAACTTGGGCAAGCACAGGAGATTCCAGACATGCTAGGGTTTCCTTATCCTTGAAGCAGAAGAAAGGAACAAGTTTCTGTAACCTGACATGGCAGAAAGAGGGTTCCTCAAGTTTCAAAATTGATGAGAACTAGACCTTTTCTACTAACTGTGCCATTCTTCTAGAGAGAAAACCAGACATACGGACGGGGAGGAGAAACTTCTTGGGTTAAGAGGTTAGGCATTCAATAGACCTCATGCATCTTTCTGAGTCAAACGCTGGATTGTCACATTATCTCTGGATGACAGAAATGCAGTTAACCTCATTTTACAAATGAAGAACAATTTCACATAGGGTGCCCATGGAAAATACTCACTTAAAAAATAACATTTGAAACAACAGTGTCCTGAGGCAAGTGAGAGCCTGCATGTTGACCTGAGACAGCCGACTAACTAGAGGAGCTGTGCCCCTGAGGTGGGAGTGGGCCTTGTAGGTTGGGGGAACAGAAAAGAGGCCAGGGTAGATGACTGAGTCAGGCAGTGAGAGAGGAGAGCTGAGGRACCATGGGCCAACTTGCATTGGGATGTCATAGGCCATTTAAAAAAGACTTTGGTTTTTACTGTGAGTAAAGTTGTCCCTCTGACTGCTTTGTGAAAGCCTAGGAGTCAGCAAGAATGGGAGTGGGGAGATCCCTTAGGAACCTTTGTAATTGAGCAAAGAGTTGGTAGCCAGGACCAGCACAGGTTGGAGTGTGCTGGTGGGAAGGGGTTATATTCAGGATATGTTTTGAAGATGGAACAGATAGGATTTGCTGATGATTTGGATGCAGACATAAAAGAGGGGAAGAGTTAAGGATGACCCAAGGTTCTGGGAATAGATTTGCCATTTCTTTTTTTTTTTTTTTTTTTTTWWGAGAGAGGAGAGAGAGAGAATTTTTAATATTTATTTTTTAGTTCTCGGCAGACACAACATCTTTGTTGGTATGTGGTGCTGAGGATCGAACCCGGGCCGCACGCATGCCAGGCGAGCGCACTACCGCTGAGCCACATCTCCAGCCCCGATTTGCCATTTCTTGAGGTGGTTAAGGCAGGCTTAGGGAAGATGAGTTTGGTTTTGAACAGGGTAGAATTAGGTAGTGGTTGGAACTGGCACTTAGATTACCAGCGGCTGGAACTGGGGAGACTGTCGGGCTGGAGGAGTTACTTTGGGAGTCCTCAGTCTACAATTAGGTAAAACCAGGACATTAGATGAGATCCCACATTTTCTTGGTGTTTCTTCCTTCAGTATGGAATGTGTTATAAGAAATAATAGGGTGATGGCTTCCATGTATTGAATGCTTTTACTTTTTTGAAGCACTTTCACAGTTATTCAGTGTCAGTTTTCAGGTACTTGGTAATTGACACAGCAGGTAATGACCCACTCTCCCAGAGCTCAGTGCTTGAGATACCAAGGTGCTCAGTTTCCAGGCCCTGGGAGAGCCAGAATTGTAAATGTCACTGCCCTGCCTCTTGTCTCTGTCCCCCCAGCATAGCAGCACTCTCTTCCCTAAGCCTTCCTGTCACCAAGYTGCTAAGAGTCATTGTGGTCTTCAGGTGAACTACATGATAATAGCACTGCTTCCTTGGGGAGGGAATGTCACTGGCCTGGGAGTTCTGCCCCACTGCGTACCTGTGTGCCAGGCACTATAACATGGATTCATGGATCCTGCCTAAAATGGGTACCCCCAGGAAGGATTTTCTTGGCTGGGCCTCACAGAAGGCTTCCTGCTAAAGTGGCCTTGTTGATGTACAATTGAGTCAAGTTCTCTGACTAGTCTTGAGCCAGTTGAAATCACAAGATTGGAAGGACTCCTCAAATTCCGTAAGTTTTATCCTGGTACTAATGAAAATAATCAAGATAGCAGTCAGTATTTTTCTATCCCACAAGCTTTATCCACAGTTACCTCATTGAGCCCTTCAGTAGCTCCTTTATCCCGTTTTCCATCAAGGGGTCAGGGAAAAAGAAGAGCGTTGCCCAGAGCTAGCCTGTGAGCCTAGAGCTAGCAAAGCCCAGCTCCTGAAGCCTGGGCTCTCACCGCCCCTACCCATCTCTGTAGGTGGAATGGCACTCTGTCCTGCCCACTTGCCTGCTTTTCTACCATTCCAGTGTGGAGTCAAATAAGGGGCTGGACCTAAGAGTGGGAAAGATGCATTGACCAGTAAAATTTGCCCCATAGCTGAAAAAGCTAGTATTTTCAAGTGAAAAGAGAAGTGTCACAATAGAAACCTCAAACCTACCAGTGGCCTGGATTTTTAGGAGATGAGGTGAAGTCCAGGTCTACCTCAGAAGGCCCATCTCTTCTCAGCTTTGTGATTCATACCCCTACCACCCCCCTACCCTTTTTTAAAAATATTTTTTTAATTGTAAATGGAAATTTATTTATTTATTTGTTTGTTTTATGTGGTGCTGAGGGTTGAACCCAGTGCCTCACTCATGCTAGGCAAATGCTGTACCACTGAGCTACAGCCCCAGCCTCATTTTTTGTGTCAGGGTCTTACTACATTGCCCAGACTGGCCTTAAACTCTCTGGGATTCAAGTGACCCTCCTGCCTCAGCTTCCCAAGTAGCTAGAATTTTAGGCTCATGTTACCCACTCAAACACCTTATCTTGAGCCTGGATTTCTAGTCTGGACAGTGTGGCATTCAGACCCTGACTTTCAGGGCCAGTGTATTGTCAACATTTTTTTTAAAGTTGACTTAAATAGGACTTAGGGTTCTTTGTAGTAAAACAGGAATAGATACTTGACTTGGTGACCACCATAGGTGTCAGTCCCACTTCCCTACCCCGTTAAGCAAGGCAAAGTAGATCAGGCTGGGTTTTATGGAGGCCTAAGCAGCAAAGCAGATATCGTTTCACACTGACTGATAATCTGACAGATTCTGGACTGCCCATGCATCTCACACTGGCCAGAAGGTTTGACTTCTATGTCTGCAGACATCCATGAGAGTGGAGTCACAGACAGTAATTTGTTGGGTTTGGTCTCCCAGATGATCCCAGAGATGCCAGTGGTGGGATGGAAAGAGGTAGACCTCAGGATGAGACCTTGAGTTAGGTGACGTGTCCTCTGTCAAGCTTGCATGAGCTGGCCTCTCTGGGCTTCCCTTCCCTGCAGAGCAGTGGTGCCAGAACATTGAGCTATGCTCCTGGCCTCACATGCAGTCTCCATCTTTATCTGTATGACATCCCCAAGAAGGAGTAACAACAGCTTTGTTTCATGTTATGTAAAAATATTTAATAAGCAAATAATCCTCAGAGTTGACATATATTAGTATGAATGGAGGCTGTGTTCCCTCTACTTCTCAGTTTTCTGGGTCTTCCATAACACAGGTAACTTAACCAGTTGTTTAGTAAATCCTTCTAGAGATATGTATGTTTATAAAAGTAAATAATTTTTTTACACAATCAATAATACAGCATGTCAGCATGTGCACACTTTATTTTTTTGGTACTGGGGATTGAATCCAGGGATACTTTACCACTGAGCTTCATCCTGGCCCTTTTTATTTTTTAATTTGCAACAGGGTCTCACTAAATTGCTTAGACCATTACTAAGTTGCTGAGGCTGACGTCAAATTTATGATCCTCCTGTCTCAGCCTCCCAGGTCTGTAATCTCAGTGACCTGGGAGGCTGAGACAGGCCACTTGCTTGCCTGGCCACTTGCTTTCTTAATGTTATATATTAGCCATTGTTCAACTCACTACATGTAAAATGCCTTGAGTTTTTTTTGCTGATGCCTTGTATCTCATTGTGTGGATGTATGACTATTAATCCCTGTTGATAAAAGTGTCTGGTTTTTTGGTATTATAAATAAGGCTTTCTTTGATAATATAAATAAGTCATTTATTATTTATAAGTTTCTGCCTGAGAATAAAAAAAGTGGAATTGCTGGTCAAGGGGAATATGATTACAATTTTTAGAGATATTGAGAGATCATCTCCCTATGCAGGTAGTACCATTTCTCACCCACAGAATGTAAATGTATCTGGTGCTTAATCACTAAAATCATGCCAAAGTCAGATAAAATTTTGTCTCCTTTGCCCATGTGAAAAATCAGTTGGGATTTGAATTTCTAGTTTCAAGTGAGGTTAGCCTTTTTCATAGAAAAGAACCTTTTCTATTCTCCTTTTTATATCTTTATCCACTTTTTTCTGTGGGATTGGTCTCCCCCCCCCACCCACTGGTGGTAGGGATTGAACTCAGGGCCTCATGCATGCTTAGACAAGGGCTTTACAGATTGGTCTTTTTGTCTGAGATTTATAGGACTTCTTATAGAGGAAATTTGCTCTCCCTGTGACATGAGTTACCAGTGTATGTTCTCCAGTTGTCATGTTTAACTTGTGACTTTTGCTTATTGTAAGTTTTATGATACAGAATGTTAAAACGTTTTTGTGGTTGAAATCAATAGTCTCCTTCCTTGGCTTCCAGGTTTAGTTAATCCTTTAGACCCACCCTTGGGTCACTTTTTTTCAAGTCTTCACAGATTTTTCTAGGGTTAGCAGAATTTCTTTTTGCATCTTGCCCCAGTTGAAATGTATCCCATTGTAAAGTATGAGGCATATTTTCATTTTTTTTTTCTTTTTTGATCCTAGTGGTGGAACCCAGGAATACTTCAGCACTGAGCTATATCCCCAGCCCTTTTTATATTTATTTTGAGACTGAGTTTTGATAAGTTGCTGAATCTGTCCTCAAATTTACTATCTTCTTGTCTCTGCCTCCCAAGTGGCTTGGATTTAAAGTATGTGCCACCATGCCTGGCCACATTGTCATCTTATTGCTGTGACAAGGATACCAACATTTAAGGGACTTTCTTAAGGTCCAGAGTTTACACATGGTGGAGCTAAGAGTAAACACAGGACTGTCTGAATCCAAAACTCACACTTTTTTTTAATATTTATTTTTTAGTCGTAGTAGGACATGATACCTTCATTTTATTTATTTATATGTGGTGCTGAGGATCGAACCCAGGACCTCGCACATGCTAGGCGAGTGTTCTACCATTGAGCCACAACCCCAGCCCAAAACTCAACACTCTTAAGGTAGGACCTTCCACATAATGTGACTTACAGGATTACCACGAGCAGGATTGAGCAAAGTTAAAAACTGTGTGTGGCCAGGTGATCAGGATAGGGCATGTGTAGATGATTTCTTTAAATCTCAACCCTCCGCCCTGACTGCTTTCTTAGTCCTAGAGATTATTACTGTGTGTGCTGAGTATGAGGTTTTGGCAAGTCTTGGAAGCACATTTGTCTTACTGTTTTCCCTTCCCATTCCATGCAGGTTCACAGAATGATTGCAGAATTCAAGCTGATCCCTGGACTCAATAATTTGTTTGACAAACTGATTTGGAGGAAACATTCAGCATCTGCCCTTGTCCTCCATGGTCACAACCAGAACTGTGACTGTAGCCCGGTGAGCAGGGAACCCTGGAAACACAATGGGACTTTACTTCTAGAAACAGTTGTTTCAAGACCTGCCACTGACCCTTTGAGACTAGGGAAGGAACTGAAAGTCCTATTTTATGATCCCATAATTGGAAGCCAATTATTCCATCCTCCATAATTGGTTTGCCTTCAGGCACCACATACCACCAACGCCTTACCTCAGGAAACAGCTTTGGGGCGCTCTAGTTTTCTGAGGCCAAGGACTCACCCTTCTGCCTTAAGGTTCCAGAGTTTACACATGGTGGAACTAAGAGTAAACATAGGACTGTCTGAATCCAAAACTCACACTTTTTTTTTATATTTATTTTTTAGTTGTAGTTGGACACGATACCTTTATTTTATTTATTTATGACTTGCAGTGCCTGAGACAGAACACTGAACTGGGAGTCAGGAAGCCTTTGTGCCACTCAGCTTATTGGGAGAGCTTGAATGAGTCACTAAATCTCTGTTTTCTTACCAAAGGAGGGTCATACTCCCATACCTGCTGACCTCTGGTCTGAGGCCCGTCTGACAGCATGGGGGGAGGGAAGGTGCTCTGGAACTGTGAAATGTTGTGCAGCCTTCAAGGCCCAGTGCCAAGAACCCCCTGACCTCTTCATTCTGGGACTTTTCTCCGTGCAACTCCCTTTACCATTTCTCTCTTTGGCCTTGTCAGATTTGCCTTTCAGTCCATCCATTTGAGTGTTTAAACTTCTTGTGAATATGTTTTGCATTTATTTTGTCTCTTTTTCAAAAACTGCTTGGTCTTTGTTCATGTAAATATTGTCTGTCTTGTGTTTTTCTTGCATGTTTTCCCTTTATTATTTGTAACTTACCTTCTTAGTCTCTTTTAATTGCTCATGAAGTAATGATGCTTATATTTGGGACTTCAGACCCTCAGGGTGGAGCTTTGCTTGATGTTTGTGGAGAGGCCGCCTTGAGTGGGGCTTGCTTTCCCTGGTACCTGTGTAGCGTTAGCCCTGGAAGTATTTCTATAGGGTTCCTTTGCTTTCATCTGCCGGGTACTTTGGGGGTGCATCTGTCCTACGGCCAGATTTCACATTTGATTCTTGGCAGTGTTAGTATGAGCCCAGGTTTCCACTTCTCCTGGGAGTCTCTAACCTTCAGGGGCACCTAGGTAGAGAACCAAACTCTTGCCAGCTCTCTGGCCCATAGATCCAAGCCTGAGGCTCTGTCTGATCACTTCAGGGCCTTAGAAACTAAGCTCTGGTGTGAGTAGGCCTCCCTCTCTGCACATAGCCCTCAGCTTCCCAAGCATAAGCACCAGGGCGTTCTGCTTGGCCGCAAGCCTGTCTTCATGTCCCATTCCAACAGTTTTCCCTTTCTAGCTTATGAACTTAACCTCACACTTAAAAGTATTTTGGTGATTTTTAAAAAATATGTGAGATGTTTTTAGCTGGAAGGGTCCATATTAGTTAAATTTGTCATTGGTTAGATGTAGAGATCTGATTAGATGATTTTCTAATGAAGAAAAGTTCTCATTGTGGATGAGGACAGAAGCTCAGAAGCAGAGTGGCATGCCCAGAGTCTCACCAGAATGTTTTGCTTTGTTTTTAATAAGGGGGTCTTTATATTTTGTCTACACTAGTCTCAAACTCTCGGGTTCAAGTGATCTTCCTCCTAACCTCATCCTCCACATTTTTTTAATTGGTGCATTATAGTTGTACATACTGATGGAATTTGTTGTTACTTATTTATACATTCACACAATATACAATATAATAATACAATTTGGCCAATATCACTCCCAGCACATCCTCCTCAAGTGATCCTTCTGCATTAGCCTCCCAAGTATCTAGGACCACTGGCATGGTCCACAGTGACTGATATTGCCCTATCTTATTTTAAAACAGTATGACTGTGGTTTTAACATCTATTTTAGGACATAACCTTGAAGATCCAGTTTTTGAGGCTTCTCCAGAGTTTCAGTGACCACCATGAGTAAGTACACACACCATGAGTAAGTACATATATGTGTCCTTGCACAGAGAATCGTCAGCTGTCTCCCAAAGGCTTCTCTCTCTCTTTCTCCTATGGTGACCAATGGACCACTCTCTGCCCAGGAGGAGGATATGGGAGATGGTGGGAGCCCATTGTTACCTCCATATTACCAAGTGCACATCTTTGACCCTGCAGTATGAGTTGCTGTTTGTCTCACCAGGAGCAGAGTTTTCCTTCAGCCACTCTAGAGACAGAAATTACTGGCCCCTTTCTACCCTTGGAAACAACACATCTTTCCACTGATGTGTTCTCTTGAAAACTCAGGCAAAGCTGGCAAATTGGACACAAGGGGATTTTTCACCTTGTATTTTCCCCATTTTTCTTTCTTTCTTTCTTTTTATGTGGTGCTGAAGATCAAACCCAGGGCTTTTATGTAAAAGGTCCTGGTATTTTGTTTGTTTGCATGCGCTGGGCAAGCTTCTACCATTGAACTACTGCCCAGACCCCCATTTTTCTCGATATATATTCTGCCCTCTCATTTTCTATTTTTCAACCTTTGATGGGAAATGTACAGGAAAATTATTTTCTGCTACAAGGAAAACAGTGAAAGGAGGAAGGAATAGCAGTTAACTCTTGACCTTAGTTAGCATTAGGATGGCGAACTTGGTGAACTAGAATGACAGGCTGCCATTCAGCCCCGGCAGCTGTGCATATACAGAGAACACTGTTGTTGCCTTTGGGTTTTTCCCTCAAGGAAAGCCAAAGGTTAAGATTTATGTGAAAACTGAGCACAGTTGTGCAAATCTATAATCCCAGTGACTTGGGAGCCTGAGGGAGGAGGTTCACAAGTTTGAGGCCAGCCTCAACCACTTAGCAAGACCCTGTCTCAAAATAAAAAATAAAAAGAGGGGCCAGAGGTGTAGCTCAGTGGTAGGGTTCTTGCCTACCATGTGTGACTCTCTGGGTTCAATCTCTAGCACCATCAAAATAAATAAATAATTTAAAAATAAATAGTAAAAAGGGATGGGGATGTATTTCAGTGGTAGAATGCCCCTGAAGTCAATCCCTGGGACAAAAAACAAACAAAGATTTATGTAAAAGGCCCTGGTATTTTGTTTGTTTGTTTCCAATGCTAGGGATCAAATTCTCATTTTTAAATTTTGATTTAAATTCTTTTAGAACATTGTATAAGTAACATTTGCCAAAGGACAAATGTGACCCATGGGCCTTTACTTTACAACTTCCCTCTCATCATGTGTGAGCATCCCCTGGGAGAGCTGCTCTGACTGAAGGCACTGATGGGTTACAAAAGTGTATGGTTTGGGTTTAGTTTGGTTTGAGGAAAGTGAGTTCCTAGTTTTCATCAGACTCTTAAATCAGCACTTGTGTGCAGGGATCAGTGTGATTAATGAAAATAGCCATGGCACCTGTCATGAAGAATACAGGTTGGGAAGGGGTTGGACATTAATCAGAGAACATCACTAGTGAATGGATGTATGGTGACCAGTGGACATTTTATTTGGGAGGGAAGGAGCATGAGTCTGGAGGGGATTGTTGGCAGGAAGGAGTCCTGTCTGGCCAGCCAGTGCTTGGGAATTCTTCCCTGCAGAAATAACTTGTCAGCTGAGGCCTGCAAGGTCAATAGTAAATGGATGAAGACAGAGCACAGGAGGGTGCATGGTTGGGCCAGGTGCCCTCCCCATGCAGAAGCCCCTGCTGGAGGAAGTGTGGCATGGCCAGGAAAATCAGGGTAACCAGATAGAGGAGGCTCTGCATACATGCAATCATGGAGGTGGTCAGTGACTGGGCTGCACAGGGCCTGTGGGGCACATTCATGGCCCTGGATACTATGTGTGCTAAAGCAGTGGGAAGACAGGGAGTGTTAAATCAGCGCTAGGGTCAGAGTCGTTTTCTGAAGGCTTCTGTGGGAGCTGTGTGAAAACTTGATTCCTGCAGAACTGATTAGGAAGCTAGCACTGTGTACTGGCCTTGGGTGAGGACAGGCTGGATGAGAAGGAGAGGGAGGTATGTGACCACTGGCCAGGCCTTTTCTTGATTGGCCTCTGGGAATGCTGCAGCAGGTATAACTGCTCGGTGCAGTGGTCTCCAGAAATCAAATAGAAAGGTTCAGTGGGCAACAGGAAAGCCAAGAGCTCCTAAGGGAAGGGGCCTCAATAGTGTTGTGGCAGACAGGTGGGGCTGAAATGCCCTCCTTCAGAAGGTCCCGTATGGGAGGCACCTGGTGGGTTCTCAGCTTCCCTCTCCCTACAGGAAGTGGGCGGGAGGCTTTCTGCACTGGCACAGTGCTGACGGGCAGCCCCAGCTTCTATCCTTCACCCCTGCAACCCTTTTGTTTAAGGAATAAATACCTGCTACTCAACAACCAGGAGCTGAATGAACTCAGTGCTATCTCTCTCAAGGCCAACATCCCCGAAGTGGAAGCCGTCCTCAACACCGACAGGTGAGTGTAGGCAACTACGGCTTTAGCCACATTCCTCCGGCTGGCTGCCAGTGTGCCTCGGCTCACAGGTGTGCCCACTCACCCTGTCTCGCTCATCGAGATATGGACAAGAACTCATGAATTGTAAAATCCACATGGAAATGTTCCAAGAGATACTTTCTGCCTGGCACTTCCTCAGGCTTCCTGCATTTTCTCTATCTTCACAGCAGCCCTAGAAGAGAGTGCCCTCACCACCTCCTCTTTACAAATGTGGGACAAAGGCTCTAAAAAGTCACCTGCCAAAGGGCATCTGTGTTCTGCCCTCCTCTTATCACATGCATGTGTGCACTCAAGCTGATGTGGACCTTTCCTGCCTAATGGCAGCTGGCCAAGCAGGGCAAACAGAAGCCCCCTCCAGCCCCTGCAAGGGTTAAATCCTTTTTTTTTTAAAAGAGAGAGAAAAGAGAATTTTAATATTTATTTTTTAGTTTTCGGCGGACACAACATGTTTATTTGTATGTGGTGCTGAGGATCGAACCCGGGCCACACGCATGCCCGGCGAGCGCGCTACTGCTTGAGCCACATCCCCAGCCCCAAGAGTTACATCCTTTTGTACTTTGTTTGCCTGTCTTTGGGAGCCAGGTAATAAGAGTCATAGGAGCCAGAATAGGGTGGACCTTTTTTAGTAGATGGAGCCATGACTTCCCAGTCTTGTAGTGAAGGGATTGAAGGGCAGAACTCATTCAGGTCAGGTTGGACTTGGAGCCCTACCCTGATGTCTATAGAGATAAATTTATTTGAAGAGGGAGTTGAAGAGTCCAGACCCCTGCCAACTTGGCCATCTTTTCCCCCAACAATGACTGGAGTCATTTCCTCACCTGCCACCTTTCCTTCATATACCAGAAGCCAAGCCTGAAGGCATGGGCACTTATCCACAGCCCAGATAGAACTGAACCTGGGGCAGAGAGGACCTAGGCCCCACCCTGTTGGCATGGACTTTGCTCTATCTGGCAGGTTCTGTCATGGCCTTAGACCCACTTGTGTTGTAAAAGACCCTTCCTCTAGCAGTTCTGAGCCCCATCTGGCTCTGGATGTGCCTCAGGCTGCTCACTAGCAGGTCTTGGAAGGGCAAGCTGGCCTGAGGTGCAGTGGAAATGCCCTTGGCTGTTGAGCTGATGGTCACAGGAGTGTCTGAGGCCTCCAGACCCAGGTGGAGCAGGAGAGCACCCTGCAAACTTGGAAACGTCCCTCCCCCCCCCTCATCTAAACCAGTGGAGTGACCCAGCCCCAAGGACCTTGTTAACCTCTCACATCTGCCACCACTGCTATTTTATTTCAGGAGTCTGGTGTGTGATGGGAAGAGGGGCTTGTTAACTCGTCTGCTGCAGGTCATGAAGAAGGAGCCAGCCGAGTCTTCTTTCAGGTGAGCCTGAGGATAGGTACCTGTCACTCCTAAGGGGCCCAGGAGACAAGTGTTTCCCAAATGGTTAGAAACGCCACCTTTAGTCCCCAGTATCCACGTTTAAAATGTGATCACTGTTGGGGAAGGTGGCTTGACTGCCATCTGGCCTTATGTGACTCAGCAGGTCAGTACTGCCCTCCTGCAGGGCCAACAAAGAACTGACTGAGCATTTATTTGCCAAGCACCTCTTCTGTGSTGATGCTGGAAAGAGGGAAAGAAATAGGACACAGACCCTGCTAGTGTGGCATTCCCTGGGGTTGTGGGGAACAGGCATGAAAAGAAACTCATTTCCATGCAGCATGGAAAGGAATGGAGCCAGGAGCTGTGGGAGCAAAAAAAAAAAAAAAAAGCCCTTCCCCTGCTGGGTGCTGGCAAGGGTGGGCACAGACAGGCCTGCTCAGAATTCCCAGACCCCTCGTAGAGGAGTCTTGAAAGATGCATGCAGGAGAAATTCTAGTAGGTCTGGGTGTGAAACTGTCAGCAGGCTCCACCACAAGGGGGACCCTGTCACCCAATCTTCCTTATCCAGACTTCCTATCTTGAATCCCAGCTGAGCCCTCTGGGCCACTTGGTTAACATCTGCTATCTGTCTTCTAGACCAGGCTCAGTGGCCTGTCTGCACATACTCTTGTGCTTTCCACACCCATTCTTGGCCCCTAGTTCTGATGTCCTCCCATTCTGAAAGGGCAAAGCCTAGAGTGTTTTCACATGGGACTTGCTGGAACAGCTGGCTCTTTGTTCTTTGATACTACTTTCTCTATGATACAACTTCTTCCAGACAGACCCATATAGAAGATTGTTTCTCATTGAGCTGTCAACTCTATGAGAATAAGGATTCCCTTGGTCACTGCTGTATCCCCAGAGCCTAGGGTGAGGCTCTGGTAGATATTCAGTAAATGTCTGTTAAATAAATAAGAAGTCAGTAAACATTTCCCAAACCCTGGGAGAACTGAACTGGGGCCAGGAAAGGGCAGCCTTAGCTACCTGGATCTGGGTCAACATTTGGGTCGCAGGTTTTGGCAAGCACGAGCTGTGGAGAGTTTCCTCCGAGGGACCACCTCCTATGCAGACCAGATGTTCCTGCTGAAGCGAGGCCTTCTGGAGGTATGGCCTGGAGGAGCCAGGGTGCTGGGTGGCCCCCAGCCCCACATATTGCTCTTCTGTCCTGAGCCCTAAACAGTTCATCAGGGCAGACCAAATCTCAGCATTTTAAAATGCCAGTGTAGATCGCCCCACTGTTTGCCCTGGGTTTCTGTTGGTGGGTTCCCCATGGGTGCTTCAGTGTTGATGCCAGTACTTGGGGTGTGACTGTGCAGGAGGGTAAGAGTCTAGAGTTATCAGCAAAGCCTTTTGACCCTGAGGATATTTTGATTTTGACTAAAAGTTAATTTTTCTTCATTAATGGCCAGTTATAATTGGTCTTTAAAAATTGATATGGACAAGAAATTATGAATTATAAAATCCATATGGAAAAGAAGTTGTATTGACCCAAATCATAACTTCAAGAAAATATTAAGGCTGTCATAGAAAACTTTATCAAAGAGTTGGCTTTATGTTTTTGATAAAAATTCATTGATTTTGGTATAAATTTTAAATAGTTTCATTTATAAACACAAAGACAATCCATGGAGTCAAAACATGCTCCGTGCCCTTAAACTCTGGTCTCTGGCCTCAGTGTTAGGGCAATGGCCAGTGTTAGATCTGGAGACAACTCTGCTGCCCAGGAGCTGGAGAGCTCTGGCTGTGTTGGTGACTACAGGGCAGGTCAGAGGCTTTAGCTGTGAGCAAGCAAGTGCCACATGCCCAACTCGCTGCCCCCTCCTGGTGAGGTGTGTCAGCCTGGTCCTGTCCTTGGAACCACCAGCATCCTCAGAGAAAATCTACACAGGGCCATACATTCCATAGAACTGYCATGCCAGGCCCCAGCGGGAGACTAGTGTGGGGCAGCCCTATCCACACCTTCACTGTGTCCCCTCCTCACCCCAGCACATCCTGTACTGCATTGTGGACAGTGAGTGTAAATCAAGGGATGTGCTCCAGAGCTACTTTGACCTCCTGGGGGAGCTGATGAAGTTCAATGTAGATGCATTCAAGAGATTCAATAAATACATCAACACGGATGCAAAGGTGAGACTCCTCTGTTCTATGGAGTTGGCTGTGTTGCCTCAAGTTATCTTGGATCCCTGATCTGCCAGTCTCCAGGTGTGGGTTTTTAGGTGGAGAGTGTTGGGATTCAATGGGAGTCTTCAGCAAATGTTCACTAGTACTTACTGTGTCCCAGACCTTGGAACACAGGGATAAAATCCACTGCTGCTTTGGGGTTGGGGGGTGAGAATGGGTCACAGGTTTTGGCAAGCACGAGCTGTGGAGAGTTTCCTCCGAGGGACCACCTCCTATGCAGACCAGATGTTCCTGCTGAAGCGAGGCCTTCTGGAGGTATGGCCTGGAGGAGCCAGGGTGCTGGGTGGCCCCCAGACATGGTGTGAGGTATGGGTGCTGCAGTGGGAGGCCCAGCACGGAGTACTGGGCCTGGAGTGTTAGGCTCTCTGGAGCGTGACAAACCCAGCTGAGACTAGTTGAAGTAGAATTGAAAGGAGCCAGCACCCTCAGTGCAGAATCACTGGGAAGTGTCCCAGAATCTTAGCAGCAGGTGAGGAGAGCAAGTCACTCAGGTTGCCTGTCTAAAAAGCAGCAGGGCTGGGAGAGAGGATTGCTGATGTCTGTGGTGGTGACTGCTCACCCTGGGCCATAGCCAGCTTGGCCAGCAACCACTGCCTCTCCTGAGTKCCATCTCCGCTCTAGTTCCAGGTGTTCCTGAAGCAGATCAACAGTTCCCTGGTAGACTCCAACATGTTAGTACGCTGTGTCACTCTGTCACTGGACCGATTTGAAAACCAGGTGGACATGAAAGGTGAGGAAAAGCCAGGGTTCCAAAGCAAATGGGTGCAGTGTGACTGCACTGGGGCTAGTCACCTGGCCTCCATCCAGGTGATGGGATGATTGAAGCAGTTGCCCCAGACATAAAGTGCTTGACTGATTGGCTCAGCTGCTTTTGACTTTTTGCTGTTGGGTGTTTCATTTGATGAGCATGTACAACACTTTGATACAGGAGAAAAGCCATTATTGCCAGCAAAAATGTAAAAAAAAAAAAAAAAGAAAGAAAGAAACCCACCTTTTTCTTCTGGGATGGGGTGAGTGGGACCCCTTTTCCTCTGTCTCCCTGACTGTGTGTGTGGAGTGGTGGGGTGAGATGTAGCTGGGGTGGGTCTCACCTAGAATTGTGTGCACCATGCACATGTTTATGATTATGTGCATACATGTGCTTTTCTTTTCCTAGGAGAGTTTGTGGTGTCCAGCAGATTCTGAGAAATTTGTGAGCATATCCTCCAAAAAAGACAGTTGTCCCTTGTCATAGTCACTATCATTGATAGCAAGAAGCATCCTGGTGCTGGGGGTAGTGGTGCACACCTGTAATCTCAGCTACGTAGCATACTGAGGCAAAGGATCACAAATTCAAGGCCAGCCTGCGCAACTTAGCAAAACCCTGTCTCAAAAAGGGATAGGGGTGTAGCTCAGTGGTCGAGCACTTGCCTAACAAATAAGAGGTCCTAGGTTCAACCCTCAGTATCACCCAAAAAACAAAACAGCATCCTGGTCATTTGGTAATTTAGCCATTTGCCTCCTATTTCTGCCCCTGAAGGATCTGTTTTAGGGGAATGGCTACATGGACTTTGGTACAGTCAACCATTGTACCCCTCACCCCATAGTGTGGGTTGCTATTTGCTCAGTGCTAATGTGTACTGTGACCTTGACAGTGGTCAGGGACATATGAGAGCTGTATGGGAAGCCAGTCACGTTAGGAGCTTTGAAATGATCTCAACTTTCTTTCACTGGTTTTCTTTTTTCTTTTTTTTTTAAAGTAGACCGTGGGTCTACTTTCCTGTGGATGCACACTGTCTTGTGGAGAGGTGCCACAGGCTGGGGAGCAGGGCTACTTCTGAGCATCGTTCTGAAGGACCAGATGAGGTTCTGAGAACACAGGCTTAGTTTAGCCAGATGGTGGAACAGCTGCTCCAGCAGCTTTTCTTGTAGCTGTTCTGGTGAGGGGCTACTGGTTGCAGTGTCAGGACCCAGTGGGAGCTCAAGCAGAGACATAGGTGGCCTGGCCACTGGACCTGAGCCTGCTGCTACACCTGTGCCTCCCTCCACAGTGGCTGAGGTCCTGTCCGAGTGCCGCCTGCTCGCCTATATATCCCAGGTGCCCACCCAGATGTCCTTTCTCTTCCGCCTCATCAACATCATTCACGTGCAGACGCTGACCCAGGTGAGAGGCCCCACCGATGGGCAATCAGAGAAGGAGACTAGAACCCATTTCCCTCTTCCTGGAGTGCAGCATATTTGCTTCTCCCACCCTCACTCTAGAAGTGCACTCTTCCCAGGGCTTTGCCCAGTGCCCCAGTTTACAAAAAGGGCCTGAGATCAGTTGACTTGTCAGGGCACAGTCAAGACTGGCACAATGTTCTGTTGACTCCCATTCCAGTGCTCTTCCCCAGCATCCCACATCTACACCCCACTAGCTATGCCGGCTGTGGAATTGGACCAGATTGCCCTCAACTCCTCAGTGTAATGTGGCTTTCCCTTCTCCAAGCTTCACACCTGTTTTCCAAAGTGTGGGCTATACAAGTACCTGTCAGAGGCGGTTCTTTTGTTCTGTCGTCTAACAAATGCAGGGAAGCTGGGCACACAGTCTAGTGTGTAATGTAGGTTCTAAAGTGAGACATTTGCACCTAGTATGCAGACCCATCCCTGCCAGGTGATTAAAGTTTCCAGAAGAGGTGATGTTCAAGCTGAGATCTAGATGAGCACAGATGTTGCTGCCATAAGGGGGGCATGGGGAATAGGAACATGCTTGGGAAGGGGCAACTCTCCAGAGGGGGAGACCCATGGCTCTGCAGGTTCACCAGAGGGCGCTGGGACTGCTGGCATGCACCCAGCTCAGCTGCCTTTGGCTTTGCAGGAGAACGTCAGCTGCCTCAACACCAGCCTGGTGATCCTGATGCTGGCCCGGCGGAAAGAGCGGCTGCCCTTATACCTACGGTTGTTGCAACGCATGGAGCACAGCAAGAAGTATCCCGGCTTCCTGCTCAACAACTTCCACAACCTGTTGCGCTTTTGGCAGCAGCATTACCTGCACAAGGACAAGGATAGCACCTGCCTGGAAAATGTGAGTGCTCCACCTCCGAGTGTGTGGGTGGTGGGCATGCAGACCCAGGGCCTGTGAGGGGCATCCAGGGCACAGTTCCTGGCCAGGATGTGGGGCAGGCTTTTTGTCCCCTTACCAAGGCCCTCCCTGTGGGGTGCTGGAGTTGGCCTGTGTCCTACAGGAGCTCCCCACAACCCCTCTCTTTTTGCCCAGAGTTCCTGCATCAGCTTCTCATACTGGAAGGAGACAGTGTCTATCCTGTTGAACCCAGACCGCCAGTCACCTTCTGCCCTTGTCAGCTACATTGAAGAGCCCTACATGGACATAGACAGGGACTTCACTGAGGAGTGACCTTTGGCCAGGCCTCGGGAGGCTGCTGGGCCAGGGTCAGTATGGGTGAGGGTGGCTATGTGTGCCACACACCCTGCCTATTCCTTGACCCTCCCCTGCCTCCCTGCCACTCTCTGCCTGCCCCAGGTCTTTAGGCACAGGCTCAGTAGGAGGAAGCATCCTAGAAGCCCTGGGCCTCTGGGTCTGAGGGCCTCAGTCATTGGGGAGTCTCAGTTCCCTGACAGTTCACAGATGAGGACAGGGGCGCCATGCCCACCCTTCCCTCATAACCCTGGGACTCTTGGCCTGCCCAGAGGAAGGAAACTTACAAAAAGAGCTCTGAGCTCCTGCCGGGTCTCTTGGCTGCCAGTCCTGGGTTAGGAAGGAGACGGGGTTCCCCCATGTATGAGCCAAGCCTCCCCTGTCCTCAGGCAGAGGCTCCTGGACAGGGTTGGGGGTACCAGAGAATGCTGCCTTCCCTCAGGCCTACCCATCTGTCCTTCCCTCGTCTTCCTTCAACTCCTCTGGTTCTGTTTGCTCATTGGCCGCTGTGTCCATCCCAGGGGGTTCCTCCAGAAGTTGGGGGGCCTTTTCTCTCTATCCCTTGGGGCACAGGGTGGCTGTGCCTTCCCTGCCCTGCCCCAGAGCAGCATCTCCTGCCTGAGCCCAGACACAGGAGCTTGGCTGGGAACTCACCCTTGGCCCCTCCTGTGTTGCCAATTTATTAACAGCAAATAAACCAAGTAAATGGAGACTATTAAAGAACTTTATTTTAAATGACTGATGTGGACCTGACTTTGTCCATGGGACTGTGTTCGCTTTCACTGAACCCCAAGAAATGAGAACAACAGCTATTGCTGCAGACGTGGCCTTTATTTAGGGTGATCCAGCGCTTGGGGAAGTTGGAGTGACAGCCAAAGGGGGTGAAGAAACCACAGGACAATAGATATCCTTCTTCATAGCCCAGGGGCTCGAGACTCAGGCTCTCACTCCTTGTGCTAAGAGGTGAGGGAGGATGAGTGAGCTGCACCACCTGCTACCCCCAACCCATGCACCCCACATGGAAGGCGGTGCCCCTTGGAGACCTCACCTTGGGGCCCAGGGCATCCCTGGTCCGCGCCCGCAGCTTATTGGCCTGGGTCTCTGCCATGTCAGCCCGCTCCTCCGCATCATCCAACTCATGCTGGGCCTTGCGATACTTAGCCAGGTTGGTGCTAGCCTGCTGCTCCTGGGGGTATACACAGGGCCTTGGTTCCCCTTTAATAGTAACAAATGGTCATTCTGGTCCCCACCCATCCCCAGAAGGAACGGGCTTCTCCTATTCTTCTACTCTACCTACCACCAGCCTCCCCCAGCACCAGGACCCACAGCAGGAAAAAAGACATAGAGCCTACATCAGGAGGTGCCAGAGTGCCAAACTGCCCAAGAGAGGCAGCCCCCAAACCTAGCCAGGGGAAACACACAAGGCTAGCGACAGCTTGGTCTAGTCCCTTCTGGAACTTTCAGGAAATTCTCTTCCTACAGGGGGCAGGGTGGTCATTAGGTTCAGGAATGGGAAAGCCTGCTGATGCCTCACCTGACACAGGCCCTGGGGCACAGTTGAAATTGGGTTACCCCGGCATCTGACAAGACCCCGGTGTGCTTACCGCCTCCTCAAACTGGCGCTTGTAGCTCTTGACTTTGCTCTGCAGCTTGTCTACCAGGTCCTGCATGCGAGCCAGGTTCTTCCTGTCCTCCTCGGCCTGGGCAGGCAAAGGAGACTCGGTTTGCCTGGATTGGGCCAACTCCAGGGCCACCCCACAGGATGGACCCCCTCACCCACCTGGTACACAAGTTCCTTGACCCGGCGCTCATGTTTGCGCACACCCTTGAGGGCCTCAGCATGCTTCTTCTGCTCTGCATCAAGCTCGGCCTCCAGCTCCCGCACCTGCAGAGACAGCCAGCGGGTTGACCTGAGGGCAGTTCTCAGCTGCCTGCCCACCCACCCTGCTGGGGAAGGGCAGTGGGGCTGCACACACCTTGGCCTCCAGCTTCTGCACCTGCTTCTTCCCACCCCTGAGGGCGGCCTGTTCCGCCTCCTCAAGGCGTGCCTGCAGCTCCCGCACCGTCTGTTCCAGAGTCTTCTTCATCCGTTCCAGGTGTGCACTTGTGTCCTGCTCCTTCTTCAGCTCCTCAGCCATCATGGCCGCCTATGAGGGAGGAGGTGGCATGGTCAGGAAGTGACCAACCCAGGGAAGATCCTTTGGCCTCTGCTCCCGCCCTGCCCCAACACAGCCCTGGCCCAGTCTCACATCAGTAATGGCCTTTTTGGCCTTCTCCTCAGCCTCCCGCCGTTCCTGAGCAGCCTCCTCTACCTCCCCGCTCAGCTGGGCCAAGTCCACCTCTAGCTTCTTTTTCTGGTTCAGAAGCCCTGTGTTCTAAGGGGAAGCAGAGTTTCAGCTGGCCAACAGGCCTCTGACCCCTCCCCAGTCCCGGTGGACATCCTTGTCCAGACCCCACCTGTGAATGGAGGAGGTTGAGGCGCTCAGTGGCCTCCAATAGTTCCTGCTCTGCCAGCCGCCGGCTGCGCTCGCCCTGTTCCAGGGCAGCCCGCAGCTCCTCCAGCTCTGCAGCCAACAACGCTGTACGGCGCTCCAGGGCCTGTGCCTGCTCACGGAGCTCAGCAGCCAGCCGCTGCTCCTCATCACGCCCTGCTTGTTCCTCCTTGAGTTGGGCCTGCAGCAGTCGCGTGGCTGCCTGTGCCTCCATAGCCTGGCGGGTGGCATGGCCCAGCTGCAGCTCCAGGTCATTGAGGTCACCCTCCATCTTCTTCTTAAGCCGTAGCGCCTCATTCCGGGCCCGCGTCTCTGCATCCAGGGAGGCCTGCAGGGACTCCACTGCACGCTGATGGTTGCGCCTGTGGGAGGGCAGGCGGAAGGGCAGGCTCGGCTCATGGAGAGGCAGGTGCAGAGCATGCTCTCACAAATGCCTAAGGATTSCTGGAGATATGAACCCGATTGGGTAACAGTTGTCCCTCCCAGTAGTAAAACCCCTTGGGGCTGCCTGTTGTCCACTGAAGCAGGCTCACAGACAGAAGTGAGGCCCTGAGACAGACATGGACTGGATTCTGGCTCTACCCCACTATGTGATCTTAGGACAGTCTTCAGCCTCATGGAGATTTAACCTCTGGAATGGCGAGAACAACCCCAACCTGAGAAAGCCATGATGCAGAGACAGACTAGATGCCTGGGCCATATGCTACCACGGGCATAGCAACACTGCTTTCCACCATTGCTCTGCTCTCAGGAGGCTGGGAGGAGGGGTACCAGACCTCAGGTTAGTGCACTCCTCATCCTTTTCTGCCAGCTTTCGGTCCACTTCTGCCTTGACCTGGGACAGCTCCAGCTGGATCCGCAGTGTCTTAGTCTCCTCCAGTTCCAAGGCCCCCTGGGAATGCASAGTAGGCAGTATGGGGTTGGGGCCAGGAGTGAGTGTTCAGGAAGCAGGGAGACATAGGTCAGCATCCACCCACCCCTGTAGCCAGTCCTGACCTCAGCCTCCTCCAGTGCTGCCTGCAGCTCACTCTTCTCCCCTTCCAATGCCTTCTTGGCTTTTTCTAGTTCCTGGATGCTCTTCCCGTTGAGGCTGACCTGGTCTGTGAGGTCACTGATCTCCTCTGCAGAATGGAGAGGGTGCTGAGGAGCACCCCTGGGCTAGCACCCCAACCCAGGTCACTTTCTACACTCCTAATTCCAGCGTAACCCTAAGATGCTTCCAACTCCATGTCCTACCCTGTAGATTCTTGTTCTCCCTCTTGAGTGTCTCCAGAGCCTCAAGTGCCTCCTCGTGGCTATGGCGTAGCCGAAAGAGCTCTGTGCCTAGGCCACGGGCCTCCCTCTGGGCCGCCTCCAGCTCCCGCTGCATCTCCTCCTCCTGTCGCCGCCGCTCCTCCAGGGCCCTCTCCAAGTGCCGCTGCTTCTTGTCCAGTGCAGCAGCTGCTGAGGTTGCCCGCTCCAGCTCCAGGGTCACATCCTCTGACTCCGTCTGCAGCCGCAGCTTGGCCTTCTCCAGTGATGAACACTTGGCATTTGCAGCCTCTACACCCTCTTCTGCCTCCTGTAGCCTCAGGGCCAGCTTCTTTCTGGACCATGGACCAGACAGGGTGTGAACTATGGAGGGAGGAGGCCAGCAGAAGAAGGGCCCTAGTATCTCCCCTTACCCCCTGCTGGCCCCAAGGCACAGGCATAAATGTGGTGATGGCCTAGCCACCGGATGCTCACTTGGCCTCTTCCAGCTCCTCAGTCCTCTGGATGGCATCTGCCTCATACTTGCTCCTCCACTGGGCCACCTCAGCGTTGGCCTTGGATAGCAGCCGCTGCATCTCAGCCTGGGCCTCAGCCTCCTCCTCATGCTGTTCCCGTAGGAGGTCACAGTCATGTCGCAAAGCCTGCACAGCATGGGCCAGCGCACTCTTGGCCTGGAGGGACATCGGGGGCCTCAGCATCAGTCCATGCTGATGGCCCCAGCATCCACCTGCCCACTCCACGATCACTGGTGCCAGCTCACCTTGCTCTCTTCCTCTAGCTGCCTCCGCAGTTCCTCCAGGCTCTGGGCAGCTGAGGCCTTCCCACGGCTCAGCTGGCTGATCAGAGACTCCTTCTCCTCCAGCAGGCGGCCCAGCTCCCCTATAGACAAAGGGGCAAGCAGGCAGGTCAGGTGGTACCTAGGTCCCACCCAGTGTGGCCCAGGTGAACCCTGACCTCACCATTCTCAGTCTGCAATCGCCCACGCTGGGTGTTCACATCCACCAGTTGCCGCTGCAGCTCCTCCACCTTGATCTTAGCCTCACTTAGCTGATCCTCATAGGCCCTGCACAGTTTCTCTGCACTGGCCTGGAAGCCAGAGTTAGGGGACAAGATGAGTTTGTGCACCTGAGGGCAGGATCTAGAGCTTCCAGTCAGAGACTGGGACCTGGCATCAGGAACTAGAAAGCTAGATATGGGCCCAGGATTCAAGGGGAGATCAGAGATTCACCGTCAGGGTCAGGGGTTCTGTTGCTAGGCTCATAGCTTAACTAAGGTCTTGGAGCGAGAGGGCTGGACCAATCTCAGTGCAAATGGGTCAGGTGGACATTAGGATACTAGATCTGGTGTCAGCCAAGGACAGTCACCAGAGATCAAAAGTTCACAAGTCAAAGTTGGGTGCTGGGTTCAGAACAGGAGAATCATGACGGGTGTCAGTTCAGAGTTCAGGAATCAAAGGCTGAGGTCACAGCGACTATTGGGTCAAGGGTCTGAGGTCAGAATTGGAAGCTGGGTCAAAATGTTCTGGTGCCATCAGAATAGGGATGAGGAACCAGGATTTGATATCAGGTCTGGTAGGGAAAGGTGGAATGCCAGGTTAGTGAGTCCAGGGTCAGATTCAGGGTGAAGGCTGCTGTGGGGTCAGTATTGGCATGGGGTGGCCAGGGGTCAGAAGGTGGAGTCAGCTGCTGGAGTCAGACCTGGTTTAGAGTCAGGATGGGCCAGGGGTCCCAGGTCAGAGTGAGGAAGAAGGTTCATACCTTGCCTCGGGCCAGTGTCTCCACGCTGGCACCCAGATCATCCACCTCCATGCGCAGCTCGCTCTTCTCCTTTTCCAGCTTTTGCCGTATCCGCTGCAAGCTGTCTACCTGTTCTCCCAGCTCAGCTGCACCATCTGCCTGCTTGCGCCGCAGGGCTGCCACTGTGGCCTCGTGCCTCAGTGCCGCTTCCTCCAGTTCCCTCCGGAGCCGGCCCAGCTCAGCCTCGCGCTTGCGG